TAATGGGGAAAAATATGGAATCGAAAATTATTAGAGAATGTTATCAATGGTAAAATGATAGAATGACTTAGAATAGGAGGAAGCATAATAACAATGTATACAAAGATATCTTGATTGTCAATATGTGAATTTTGATAAAATTCAAGTGATGACTATGGAAAGGACAAAGACCTTGTAACAAATCGACACACTGTGTGTAGTTGAAGAGGCTTTTATGTTATATGTGTTGTGTGTTTGTGTTTGCCTGAAAATAAAAAAATACTAAAAAAAGAATGGCAGATTCACAGATCTGACACCTCGCTAAAGACATGGAACCTGAGGGTGGATTGGACCAAGGGGACCCTCTGATTCCCTAATGGTGAACTGGCCCAGAGGGAGGAGCCTTACAAGGCAGGAATGTCACACTGCAAGGATATAGCTGCTGCCACAACAAACGGACCCCTACTGGGCATTCCCAGGGAGTACCAAGACTTAGCAGATGTGTTTAGCGAAGCAGCTTTGGAAGAACTTCCTCCTTATAGACTCATAGACTCTGCCATTGAGATTTTACCAGAGGCTAAATTACCCAAGCCAAAAATGTACTCAATGACACTTCAGGAGCTGGATGAACTGCACCAATTCATAGACAAAAATCTCAAACGCGGCTTCATCAAACCTGCCAAATCCAAGGTGGCTGCCCCAATACTGTTCCAAGAGAAAAAGGACAGCTCATTATGCCTATGCGTGGACTATAGAAATTTGAATGCTATTTGCAAGGAAAATGTGTACCCCTACCCCTGATGGAGGACATGCTGGCCCATTTGGCAAAGGGCAGGATTTTTTCCAAATTATATTTAAGGGATGATTATTACCGGATCTGAATTTGGGAGAGGCTTGAATGGAAAACAGCATTTAACTTCCTGTTAGGGTGTTGTCAGTTCAAGGTTTTGCTGTTTGGACTCCAGGGTGCTCTGGCTGTTTTCATGCAACTGATTAACGAAGCGCTACATGAGCTCTTGTACAAGGGGTTTTTGGTTTTTCTTTATGACATATTGATTTACACTGAAACTAAGGCTGAACATGTTCAATTAGTATGGGAGGTCTTAAAGCTAAAATCAGCTAAGTTGTTTGTCAAATTATCCAAGTGTGAATTCCACCAAGAACAAAATAGATTACTTGGGATATTGACTCTCCCACAAAGGAGTGGAAATGGATCTTGCAAAAGTCAGAGCGATGCTGGAGTGGGAGTTGCAGAGCTTCCTGGACTTTACAAACTTCCATCGACAATTCATCTTCTCTTTTGCCCTGATAGCGCTTCCAATTACTAATATATTGAAAACCAAAGGGAGAGATAAGCTGAAACCCAGCCAGCTACTAAAATGATCTATGGAATGCCAAGCAGCATTCAAAAATCTGAAAAGACTTTTTTTGTTCAAAATCGGAGTTAAAACACCGGATCCGGAGCTTGTAATTCAAGCCAATGCCAGTGACATGGAGTTGGAGCAGTCCTACACCAAGAAAATGAAGAAGGCAAATTGCAACCATGCATGTACACCTCTAAAAAAATAACTGAAACTGAACAAAGGTGGATGATATGGGAGAAAGAGGCTTTTGCAGTCAGGCACTCCTGATTTAGAGACATTTCCTGGAGGGGAATAAAATATCCTTCCAGGTGTGGACCCACCATAAAAACTTAGAAGGTCTCAAAATCCCAAGGAAAATGTCCCCAAAACAGGTCCATGGGCACAGTATTCCCAACTGTTTGATTTTACTTTAAGGTATCTACCGGGGGGGGGGGGACTTTCTGGCCGATGCCTTGTCCAGACTACCCCAATACAGCAGTGCTAAAGCAGAAGTAATTAAAACCATGCTTCTAGCTTCCCAGGTGGCAGCCAAAGTTGTCACACACACCCAGGCAAAAAAAGACCCCTCCTCCTTAGACAATGCCATCATCATGGAGTTCAAAAAAGGATTGGAAACAGACGAGTGGTTTTGCGCCCATAAACAGCAGAATAAAGGATGGGTTAGCTTGGGTGGGATACAAACTGGCAAAGGAAAGATTGAAAGCTATGCAAGCCTGTCATGAGTCTTGTCACTTTGGTTTGTGAAGTCTTTACACTTACTAAAGTGGCAACTCTGATGGCCTTCATTGAAGAAGGATGTAGAAATCTATGTACCAAGCTGTCCCATTTGCACTGCTGTTAAATGCAGAAAGGGAAAGACCCCTGGTCTACTCCAGCGAGCAGATGCGACTTAGAGGAAAGCAGTAGCTCACAGCTGCTAAATTGCACAAGAGATGCTCTCTCTCCCAGCAAGAGCAGCAGCGGAGAGAAGCAGCTGCTGACCCAGAGACCATATGGAGCATCTCTGTGAGCAACTGAGCTTCGGCAAGGGATGGCTGCAAGATCTTCGCTGCAGTGGTTTAGGTAAGAAGAACTGTCCGGTAGTTTGAGGCCGGGGGTGGTGGTGGTGTAAGCATTGCGGCAGAGGCCTGGGGCAAGCCCAGAGCCAGGGAATGGTGCATTCCATGACCTGGCCAAGGCAGGCAGTGAGCAGGTGGAGCTTCTGGGACAAGGCTGGAGCCAGGGAATGGTGTGTCCCTAGGCCAGTGATGGCTAAACTTTTTCAGATCTCATGCCAAAAGTGGGGGGAGCATNAAGAGAGCCATTTGCTTGAAATAATTTGGACAGAAAGGAGAAAGAAGAGAAGTGACAAATCCACTTAAACGCAACCCACTTAAACACAAACTCTAAATTTGGTTTTGGACTTGAAAAGATTGTGTATGTTTTTTTGCCAGAACATTTTTTTTTATTCTCTTAGATACCATTTTAAGTATACATTCACAAAATTATTTTTCTTCTTTACATTTATCATTCTTATACATTTGTTATTCCATTTTATAGGTTATAATATAGGTATACAGTTTGGGTTGCTTTGTTTACCATCCCTTTCTCCTGCTGTAACACCATCTTATTTTCCCTTTCTTTTCTCCCTCCCTCCCTTGTCTACTTTCCTCCTTCCTCCTCTCCTTTCCCTTCCTCCTTCCCTTCTTCCTTCCCTTCCCTTTCCCCTATTCCTACTCTTCCTCTTCCCCTAACTATCATCTCTCCTTCTCTTCCTCTCCCTACCATCCTCCTCTCCCTACCTCTTTCTTCTTTTCCCATCTTCCTTTCATTGTCTCCTCCTCTTTCTTTTCTATTACTATAGGTGTCTCTTTTGGGTCTCAGTTTATATTTCTTTGGGATGGTATTTTGGCAAACCCAAATATAATTGGTATCTTTTCTTGTTTCCTTACCTTCACTAATCTATCCTAATTATATTTCCCCCCCCCTTTTTGTATTTCTCTATTATATATACTTACATTTAATTTTTTCTTTTCTGTTTTCCCCTTCTCCCCCCCCTTTTCCATAACAGTGCATCAATTGAGTTCTATATCTTCTTCCTACTTTCTTTTCTAGTTTGTTTTCTCTAGCCAATCATAAAATCTTCCCCATGTTTTGAAGTACTCCGATTCCTCTTTATCCTTTATTTTCATTGTCAGCCTGTTCATCTCTGCACAATCTAATATCTTTTTTACTATCTCTTCATTTGTTCGTAGTTTATTTAATTTCCAATGTTGGGCAAATACGATTCTTGCTGCTGTAGTTACACGTATAATCAAATAGGTATCCTCTTTCTTAAATTTCTCTGGGATAATACCTAGTAAAAATATATCTGGTCTAAATTCTATTTCTTGTTGTAACATTTTCTTTAGCCATACTCTTATCTTAGTCCAATATTTCCTTGCTTCTGTAGATGTCCACCACATATGATAATAGGAACAAGCAAGGAATATTGCTTGTTGACACTTCCAACATTTCGCTGATTTATCTCTAAACATCTTTGCTAATTTTTCCGGTGACATGTATCATCTATAAAACATTTAGTATACGTTTTCTTTGTAAGTTGTTGAAATGGTTAATTTATAGTTCCTTTCCCATAGTTGTTGCCACTTTTCTAACTCAATCATGTGACCAAAATTCCTTGCCCAGAATATCATTGTATCTTTAAC